ATTTTTAATTCTGGGATATCAGTCTTTCCTGGTAGTCCCTTCCTCGTTTCATCCCTCCCTCTGTTGTCTTTGCTGCAGGGCCCAATGTAAAGGCGGTTGCTACTGCTGTGGAGCAGATTTACCCATTTGTGTTTGAAAGCAGGAAAGAAATTTTATAATCCATCACTTCATTGGTTGGAATCCTTAACTGAGCACCTTTTACCACCTGCTGCACATTGGACTCAAAAGGAAAACTGGACCAACAGTGGCTGAGGAAACAGACTCTCTTATTCACTCATGGCTGCAGTGTAAGCTCCAGTCTGTTTGGATTTCATTTCAAACTTTGCTGTAATATAAAAAAGTTTACAAGACATGACATTGCTGCTTTTACAAAAGGACATTCTATTTATTTTCGCAGTAATACTCATGTCCTCATAAGCAGAGCTGTCCCAGTGTGCACTACCTTACTTTGTTTCATTTTTGTCATTGTTATGATTTTTCCCCCCCAGTTTGAGCTAATGTGTTTTATTTGTGAATAGTCTTTTACATTTTTGTATGCTGAATATGGGCACCAAAGAACCTGTAAAAGTTATCTTTTTCAATTGAATGTGCACAAATAAAAGTTTGGAAAAGATCTCTCTTCATATCCATTCTAGAACTTTTATTCCCATTTTCTATTTTAACAATTGTATTCATAATTTTTTTTTTTAATCTATGCAAGCTTAGATTTTTGCTAACGTGTGTTGGCTTCTCTTTGAAGTATATTTTGTATATAGATAAACCACATGTTCATAGTATCTCTTTAATGCTCTGTTACCAAATATCAAATAGGAATTTGTTTCTTGCAGTTTAGAAACACAAACATGTATATAAACTTGAGGGAGCCAGACTAGAAGTTTATAGATAAAGCATAATGTTTTATGTTGTTAATTTAATATGATAGAAAAAAATGTTAAATAACTTTTGAAAATTAAGAAAACTGTAGTTTTTAATAAGAAAAACCGTCTACCCACAAGATGGATTATGAGCAAGAAACTATGATGGCTTGTACCTCATATGTACCTTTGTTCTTCTGGAAATACTCAATTCTAGTTGTTATAGGACTTAGGTTCTTGACTCATTAAACTTTGTTTGGTGCTCAAGGCTACATGAGGAGTCTTGTCAGAATTGATAACATTGTGTTGTTTTAACAAGAAGTGCCCACCCAGAAGCTGCCTCTGTGCCACAGTATAATTATAATATATTCCAACTTGAATTTGGAAGCCATTTTCTGAGCTGTCTTTCCCCTTGGCTATCTTCTTTAATGGAACTAAAGCATAACTATTCAGTCTAGTGTAAAAAATGGGATTACTACTTTCATGCTATAATAAACACACATTGATGAAGCTATGTCTTTCTGGCTCACCGTGAGCCCATGCTCCTGCTGCAGCTGTGCTCTGTCACAGGAAAAGCAACAGTGATTTTACCTGAGCAGAGAGTGGACTTAGCTTCTTGGTAGAAACGTTCTAGAGACAATATTCCAACACAACCTTCCACTAAAATTTGAATTACCAAAATGTTTTGAAACCTTATTGTAAGATCTTGAAATTTTAATTTAATCATTACACTGATAAATATACATATTATGTGTGTATTTTTGTCTTCTTCATTGCTCCCTCACTTGTGTCTCCGCTTTCAAAAGTGGGGCTCAAAGGATGACTTTTATGTTTTCTTTTGAAAAGATTTGTGATTTTTCAGACTTTTCTTTTTCTTTTTTTACCCCATCATGTTCATTTACTTTACTTTAAAATATAGTAGTGTTATTGTTGTTGTTAAGTGCCATCAAGTCAGTTCCAACTCATAGCGACCCTGTATAGGGTTTCCAGGGAGTGGCTGGTGAGTTTGAACCGCTGACCTTGCGATCTAAACCACCTTGCAGTCCAGCGCATTAATCCATAGCACCATACCAGGACTCCACAGTAGGGTAGCTAATCTCATAAAATACAGAGAATAAACTAGGAAGAAAAGTTACAAATTGTGGACTATTTAAAAATTTGTTATTACCCAGTTATTATGAACAGTAATAAGTAAATTCCTGCTTTGCAGTGCTCATCAAAAAAAAGAAAGAAGGGAAGGCAGGAGGCAAGAATGAAGGAAGGGGAAAATGAAAATAAAACATTATATGAGAGAGCTTCAAAAAGGTCATGAAAAAAACTCCAGTATCTTTTAATTCATTTGCCTATGACCTTTTTGAAGCCTCCTTGTATATCTGAGGTGCATATCCAGATGTCTTAACATTTTTAGTATTCAAATGTCTTGAACACTGGGTAGTATCTCAACAAAGTGCATTATCTGAAAAGGAGAGGAAGAACTGATCAGGTTCAGTGTTAGGGCGACTGAGTGTGCCTCAAGCTGGCACAGTACAGTGCCTTCTAGAGCTCGCTAACTCGGCTCGCTAGCTCTAGCAAAGGTGGCAAGACACGAACGAGCATCATGTCTTCTGCTGCCTTTCTATAAGTGCTGTCAGCTATTTAAAATAAATTAAAAAAAACATGAATACATACAAATTATAAGTATTCCCCCTTTTTATTATTGAAAATCAAAAAGGTATGATTTAGGAGGGTATTGAGTAAAACACTAGTTTGAAGACAAAATTGTTTAATTACAGACTCAAAAATAAAATGAGATAATATTTAAGATGTTGAAGTTGAAATCACTAGTGATAACCCAATCAATTTTACCAACAGTTTCTTGCCCATTTACATTTATCAATGAATGCCTAAACCAAAGAATAGCCAAAATATATATGTAATGCTCCAACATCAAAGGAAACATCTAAAATTTTTGTTAATATCTTAAAATCTGTGAGCTATAGGCAAAAAAAAAAAAAATCATATTGATTACATGTCTTGATTTTTTTTTTTTTTTTTTTAATCTCAGCATACTGAAGATTCTTGATAAATTTTTAATTGGCCTTTGGTACAACACAATTTTCCATATCCTACCAAAGCAAACAAAACAACACATACTCGAACTTTCATATGACATATACCATGATAGAATTGCTGAAGAGCTCAAGCCTCCTTTCTGCATATCTTCCTCTGCCAGTTTTAATTAAGATAGCACATTTTAAAACCAGCAATTTCTGAATCTCAGATGATACAGTTTTACTCTTGATTACATAGGCTTATAGTCTTGCTACTTTGATACAATGGGATGTAGTGAAACACACACCTTTAATCAGCCTGGAGCAGTTACCTAGGGGCAAGCCAAATAAAGGTCTTCCTTGTTTTCTTTAGAGGTTTTTGGTACATAGAATTCATTCTCTTTTCTTCAGGTTAGCTGTAGTTAAAGGTCTTTTCCTACTCAGTTGTTCATGCTTTTCATTTATGTGTATGTATTCCTTAGCTTATAAGATCAGTGATTTAATGGGTCCACTACTGAAGTAGTTTAAGGAGCTCTGGTAGCATACTGGTTACGAATTGAGCTGCCAACCTCAAGGTCAGCCAGAACAACTACCAGCTGTTCCGCGGGAGAAAGATGAAGCGTTCTGCTCCCATAAAGATTTGCAGCCTTGGAAACCCTGTGCAGGGTCACTATGAGTCGGAACTGACTCCACAGTACTTAACAACAACAACACTAAAGTGGTTTGGGACTCTGTTGTGGATTGTGTATCATAATAACCAATTTCTGTTGGTAAAATGCCTTGTCAAGTCTTAAAATCCAACTGGAGAAGTACAGAAGGGAGCAGTCCATTGTTGGGAGGATGAAAACCCAAGTTTCTGCTATGGTCTATGGTCTCTGTTTCGTCGGGGGTGATAAGTAGTGAAGGAATTGTCATGATGTCTGAATGGCACTTGTATTACCTGCTGTCACCTGAGAGTCAATATCAGTTACAGCCAGCGTGCCATAACCTGAGGTAGTATTTTTCCTGAGGAGTGCTAGAAATTGCAGGAAACTCTGGAGTGCTGCTATGAAGATTTCATGAAAGCCTTACAAGGAGAGGATTTTACAAACTTGACTTAACTCAAACCGAATTAGAGTTTCGGATAAATAACCTGTCAGTCTGACTGCTTTTCTAATGGTTTTCTAATGGCTAATTCTAAATAAATATGGTCCCATGATTCTGAAATGGTTCTTTCTACTCACATAAGAAAATAGATGGGGGGAAAAATGCTTACTTTTCTCAATGGTTTCAGAATTGTTTCTTTTCACATATTTGACAATAATAATGTGAAATTAATAACACTAAACTATTTTGAATTAATTTATATTCATAATCCTCCAAGTAAGCTGTCTAGTCATCAGACTTATTGAATTGTATCTAGGAATTATCACTAAAATCCTAGCCATCCTAATCTAGAACATTTGTGCAATTAAATAGTCTACATTGTGTCCTGTTTTTTTGTTTTTTTTGCAGAAGACCCAGTGAAAAATAGTGTCTCAGTAGACAAAAAGTGTGAGTGTTCAGACCACTTGGGCATCTGAACAGTAAAGCTGTGACTAGCCTCAGTTGGCACTAGGAAGACAGTCTTTCAAAAGCTGATGTAGAAAGGGTGGGGAGCATTGAACGAGCTTGTACATTTCAACCTGGAATCCTGCCCCAAAAAGGAGCCCTGTGTCATCATGGTTAGAGTGCTGGGCTGCTAACCAAAAGGTTGGAAGTTTGAGCCCACCAGCCGTTCATAAGAGCAAAAACCTGGTGATCTGTGTCCCTAGAGAGTCCAGCCTTGGAAACCCTTATGTGGCAGTTCTATCTACTGTGTCCTATAGGGCCACGAAGAGCTGATGAGTTGAAACTGAGGCACACAACAACAGCATCTTACTCAGAATAAGAAAGAAATCATGTGACCTTGTGCCTATCCAACTTATGAGGGTTTTCTGGTGTGGAGGGTGGGTAGTTAAAAGTCTGTAACTTTAAGGTGTCTTAAAAACAAGCTGCATGACACTGGAAAGAAAACATGGGAGTAACAAATACGTATTGGTACAAGACATCCTATCACATGTTCTGCCACACTGACACCCCTAAAGTTCGGAGAGCACTAAATCTCTGAAGAAAGCGGCTTTGGTTGCCCCTTACCACACAGCCTTTTACATTCCAAGAACTGCTCCTGGGGCTTTCTGTTTGGAAGCTGACTTGGCACTGACTCCTCTTGGTGATGACTCATAAAACAAATGTTGTTTTTCACGTAGTTCCTGAAGGAGAAAGAGGCACTAATGAAAATGTCATTCTTAATTTACAGTAATTTTTTTTTTAATATGTACTCTATTCTTTTAAATATAACCCTGGGCTGTTTTAGCTGTGCAGAAAAGACATGTTTTTCTTGTGAAGCTTTGCCATATCAGGAAATTCAGTGTAACATAAAACTTTGGTCCATTTTATGGGAAGGGTAAGGTGGGAGTGTCGTGTCAATATAATCATGGACATCCTGTATGCAGCAAAGGATTCCAAGGGTAGTGTTACATTCAGAGAACTAATGAAGATAGCATCTAAGATCGCCTTTCTTTTCCATTTCTCAAAATCTACCAAGATGCCTAGATTTCTCACTACAGATTCTGCTGTCTGCATTAGACTCACACTCCTGCACACCTCAGTTCTAGCTACAGGATTATTCCCATCAGTTCTGGTATTCTGCCTGAATTTAAAAAGAGAAGGCTACTCTTAATCTACCCTCTCCCTTTAGCTATTTTCCTGTGAGGGAATCAGCTGGTGGAGTAGCTACAATGTGCCTCCAAGCAGCCTTCAGCATCATCCAGCACTGCCTTCCTAACACTGTGCTTGGCTCCAGTGACACCTTTCTATCTGGCTTTCCTGCAACCACACTGCTTGTTCTTTCTCTCTTTTTTGATGTTCCTTCTCTACTTGATCTCTAAATGTCAGCAGAATCTAGAGCTGACTTCAGTCTTTTATCTACACTCTGTGGACATGATCTCATGATTCTTGACTTAAATATCACTGATAAGTTGATGGTCTCCCAAATCAGACTCTAACTGTGAGTGCTTCCAGAATTCCACACTTGCAGAACCAACTGCATACTAATAATATATCAATTTGCTATCTAAGGAACATCTCAAAATTAACAGATCCAAAACAGAATTCCCAGCCCTGAAACCTAGTCTTTTTCCAGACTTCCTTAACTTAGCAAATGTACCACCATCCATATGGTTTCTCAAGCTGAATAAGTGTCATACTGGCTTTTTACGTTTTAACATTTAGGAAATTAACTGCCTTCTTGTTAGGTGTCCTCCAGTCGATTTCAGCTGATGGTGACCCCTCATCATTGCCTGGATCCTCTCCAGTTCACTCAAGACATACAAGAATATGCCTAATAGTGGGAAACAATAGTGAACATAATATAAAACATTCTCAAAGATATAAATGTAGTTGAAGGAGACAGACAAAACATACATTGTATCAACTTTGGTGAAAACAAGTAGGAAAGTGGACACAGAGTTGGGGGCAAGATTGTGGGTTTCTGTAGGATAACATGAAAGAACTGAAGGATATCCAGGTGAAGAGAATTCCAGAGAACAAAGGCAAAGACCCCACGTCTTCAGCATGCCTGGTGTGTTTTGTTGTTGAGCGCCATCAAGTCAGTTCCAACTCATAGCGACACTGTATAGGGTTTCAAGGAGCAGCTGGTAAGCTTGAACTGCCGACCTTGCTGATCAAATGGCTTTGCAGTCTGGTGCATTAACCCACAGTGCTTAGGATACAGCAAAAAGGCCCATGAAGCTGAGGAGAGCAAAGGAAAAAGGAGAGTAGTAAGACGTGTTGCAGTCAGTAGAGGCCATGGAACAGTGATGTCCGATGGATCTTGGCTGAAAGAATATCAGCAGAAAGATGTTTACCTGTGCTTTATTGACTATGCAAAGGCTTTCGATTGTGTGGGTCATGACAAGCTATGGACAACACTGCGAAATATTAGTATTCCGGAACACTTAATTGTGCTCATGAAGAATCTGTATATGGACCAAGAGGCAGTTGTTCGAACAGAACATGGGAACATGGAATGGTTTAAAATTAAGAAAGATGTGTGACAGGGTTGTAGTCTTTCACCGTATTTATTCAACCAGTATGCTGAGCAAATAATCCGAGAAGCTAGGTTCTATGAAAAAAACGTGGCATCAGGATTGGAGGAAGACTCATTAACAACCTGCGATATGCAGATGATGCAACCTTGCTTGCTGAAAGTGAAGAGGACTTAAAACATTTACTGATGAAGATCAACGACCACATCCTTCAGTATGGATTGCATCTCAGTGTCAAAAAAACAAAAATCCTCACCACTGGACCAATAAACATTCTTATCAACGGAGAAAAGATTGAAGTTGTCAAATGTCTTTATTCTTCTTGGATCAACCATCAACAATCACGGAAGCAGCAGTTAAGAAATCAAATGATGTATTGCATTAGGCAAATCTGCTGCACAAGACCTTTTTAAAGTGTTAAAGAGCAAAGATGTCAGCTTGAGAACTAAGATGCACCTGACCCAAGCCATGGTATTTTCATTAACTTCATATGCATGTGAAAGCTGGGCAGTGAATAAGGAAGATCGTAGAAGATTTGAAGCATTTGAGTTATGGTGTTGGAGGAGAATATTGAAAGTGCATGGGCTGCCCACAGAACCAACAGATCTGTGTTGGAAGAAGTGCAGCCAGAGTGCTCCTTGGAGGCCAGGATGGCTAAGCTTCGTCTCTCATACTTTGGACATATTGTCAGGAGGGACCAGTCGCTGGAGAAGGATATCATGTTTGGTAAGGTGAAGGGTCAGAGAAAAAGAGGAAGACCCCTAGCGAGATGGATTGGCAAAGTGGCAGCATCAATGGGCTGAAGCGTGGCAACAATAGTTAGGTTGGCCCAGGACCTAGCAGTGTTTCATTCTGTTGTGCATAGAGTCACTGTAAGTCAGTACCAAGTTGATGGCATCTAGCAACAAGAGGAGTCGGGCTTTGAGGATCATCATAAGGCTTTTTCCATCGCCATGGAGAATAACTGGGCATTTGAACATTCACTTGAAGCAGTACTGAGAAACCTTTTTTCTGCCAAAATTTATAACATCATCTGGGGGCCATAAAAAATTGTCAATTTAAAAATTAGCCTGCCATATTTGGTCAAACATTTAATTAACTCACCCCACTTCTTGTTCAATATGTATGCTGAGCAAATCATCTGAGAAGCTGGGTTCTATGAAGGAAAACGTGGCGTTAGGATTGGAGAAAGACTTATTAACAACCTAAGATATGCAGATGATATAACCTTGCTTGCTGAAAGTGAAGAGGACTTAAAATATTTACTGATGAAGATCAACGACCACATCCTTCAGTATGGATTGCATCTCAGTGTCAAAAAAACAAAAATCCTCACCACTGGACCAATAAACATTCTTATCAACGGAGAAAAGATTGAAGTTGTCAAATGTCTTTATTCTTCTTGGATCAACTATCAACACTTGCGGAAGCAGCAGTCAAGCGATCAGATGATGTATTGCATTGGGCAAATCTGCTGCACAAGAACTTTTTAAAGTATTGAAGAGCAGAGATGTCAGCTTGAGGACTAAGGTACGCCTGACCCAAGCCATGGTATTTTCAATAACCTCATATGGATGCGAAAGCTGGATAGTGAATAAGGAAGATCGTAGAAGAATTGATGCCTTTGAGTTGTGTTGGAGGAGAATACAATGATGCCAAGTGGCATCATTGATGGTGTCAAGTGTGGTGGCTGTAGGGAGGTTGGCCCAGGATCGGACATTGTTTTGTTCTGCTGTGCATGGGGTCGCTATGAGTCGGTTCCGACTCGATGGCACCTGAAAACAACAACAACAACTTCTAGTATAGCACTGTGGATCAGCACTGGACTGCGAACTACAAGGTTTGATAGTTCAAATCCATCAGCTGCTCCTCTGAAACCCTATACAAGGTCCCTATGGGTAGAAACTGACTCAATGGCACTTAACAACAATAGTGTGATGGAACTGTGGTTGCCCAGACCAAATGATTTCACAGGCCTTCTAAGACCCTAAGGTTGGGCGTCCTGTCACCCAACTCCACCCCTCCCCCCACAATTTAAAGGGATCCGCTGGCCATTGTGTTGAGAACAGATCAGAGTGTAACAGGTGGAAATGGAAGCCTAGGAGGTAACTTGAAATAATCCAAGAGAAAGATGATGGTGACTCCAATCAGGGTGACAACAGTGAAGGTGGTCCAGCTCTGGATCTATTTTGAAGTAAGAGCTTACAATTTCCTAACAGATTGACTGTGAGGTATGAGGAAAAGGAACCAGGGAGTCTAGGACTGTAAGGAGAGTAGGAACCCATCCAAAGGAGTCCTGGAGTGGAGCTGTAGGATAAGCTCTGGACTACTAACCATAAGGTCAGTGGTTCGAAGCCACAAGATGCTTCTTGGAAATACAGAGTTGCTGTTAGTTGGAACTGACTACAAGGCATTTAACAAGACTGAACTATTTATTAGGCAATTTAAAAGATATGTAAAGTAGTTGAATAAGCAAGCCTCCAGGTCAAGACAGAGAGCTAAGATGGAGATAAAAATTTAGGAATAATTGTATATATATTGCTGTTAACTGTTGTACAGTCAATCCTTGGCTCTTGAGGACCCTACATGTTTCAGAGTTAAACTTCTCCAATAGGTTTTCTTGGCTGTAATCTTAGAAGGAGTTCGCCAATTCTTTGTTCCCCAGAGTTAGCAGTCAATCACAAACGGCTTGAGATGGCATCAAATCCATAACCTTGCCTGAGCTCAAAGAGCCCCTGAGAGTGGTAGAGGCGTGGCCAGAAGACTAACCCCTGAGGACCTCCACTGTCAAGATTGAGGGAGGATGAGATGGTCCCAAAAGGAGTGAGTCATGGTGGGAGGAAACCAGGAAGGGGTCCCAAAGGCAATGAGGCAAGTATTTCAGGAAGGAGGACATGCTGAGTCAATGTTGAAGATGGTCATTAAGATGGAAGATAATTGAGTCTGGGTTTAGCAATGGAGGTTACTGGTATGTTTTTGTTTTTTTAATGTGGTTTTAGTAGAGCTCTGAGCACACAAGTCTGGAGGAGGTTCATGAGAAGAATTGATGACAGAACAGACAACTCTTTGTTATAAATTGTAGCAGAGAAACTGGCAAAACCAAAGAAGGGAACTTCCACAACCTTACGTATCAACCAACACATCAGTATTTGTACTCTCATTAG